TGTTATGGGGAAAAGTTACATGTTAATTACTCCTGGGAGTTAAAGGGTTAATTCTTATCAATATCTTGTGTAGGTGAAAATGAGTGGAAATCAAGGGGATATTATTTGACTTGAGGATATAATTTTTGACCAGATATTTTCCTTTCAATGAACATTTGACCAAAAGTATGGCTTTTAATGTTTTAGGACTTTTCCTGACTCCTCTGCTGATGAGTTTGCCTGAGAAAGTCAGGGATGAGCTGGGTAAAAGTGTTCCCTTCCCAAGTCGTCTGGGTGATCCTGCAGAGTTTGGACATCTGGTACAGAGTATTATCGAGAACCCAATGCTAAATGGTGAAGTTATCAGGCTGGATGGAGCTTTACGCATGCAACCTTGATGTCATTTCATTTTGGCCAAATTTTGACATCTTTCAAATGATAAGTCAGCTAGAAATGATTTCATGTGATAGGTGAGGTAGATAATTAACTTCTAGAACAATCTTTAAGTTGCATAAACATGCAAAACTTTGGACATTCCAGTTAACTTATTGTAGAGATTATTATTCTCTAGAACAGGGATGGGTGAGTGGAATGTCAATGGTTGGAGGGGGGGAGGAGAGGGACAAACTACATTTGCCCTTCCCCTCTTATCCTGTCATGTCTGCTGTCTCTCTGGAATACCAATAATTAATTTTCACACATGAAGCTCAGAAAATATATTACCACTGAAAGATTTTAAGCAAACCAGTATAGTAATAAATGAATAAACGCGCACATCTGTTGTGACTATGAATAGTTTTTCACATTTTTATGCATATATTATTAGATTTCCATCCTTATATAAATATGGATTTTGTAACAGAGTCTGTGTTTTCGTTATTTTCTTGGTAATCTAAAGGTCAGCCAATGGAAAAACCTGAAGTATTTTTGGTTTGTGTAATTGTGTCATGTCCAATCACACTGGAGATCCTAACTCTGGAGCAAACCGCAAAACCAAAAACCATTTTACCAAAATTGAGTGTAGCTCTGCTTTCAAACATGCGATTGGCCTGATTGTGTCAACTTGACAAAACGGTACGTCAGAAATATTCTTGTGCTCGCGGTTTTCTGAGTTTTACAATAACTACCCGCAAAAACAAGCCCGTGAAGCGACTTGTTTTCCTCGTAGAAGAAGTGGAGCCCAAATAGTGAGTGTAAAATCTCTTTCACTATATTTCTATGCCTATTAATTTGAGAACGAGAAGTGACCCCCCAGTTCAACGTTAGCTAAAATCGAACTGATTTCAAATGTTAGCGAAAAGTAGTGACCCAAGACACTAGAAAAATCAGTGACCTTGAACTAGGGAAATGACCTAAGATTGTCGCTAACTTAGACGGTGGCAAAGTTGACCCAAGACGACAGCGAATCGATGTAAGACTCACAAACAGGCCGTTTGCGGGACGATCGAACAACCGCTCCCTTTTTTGGGTCTTGGGGGGGCGTTGCCGAGGTGTGCTATTTTTCCTGCACCTCTTGAACCGAATTTTCTAGTTGCATGTAATGCGAGCTTAGGGATGTAGGGTGTGCCGTGTTGAGTTGGAAACTTTGTGAGGGATTTTGTCACGAAATCTTGACAGATCCCACGGTTGGTGGTCAACCGAACGGAGCACGTACTGTCTTTGTTTACTTTACGGTACGGTACGACCAAAAAACAGTGAGCATTTGCAATTTGTCACCTGAGTTCTCCATCATGTTTTCCTAGTTCGTCCTGTGTGACTGGAAATTTTTCTAAAATCACGTTTACCGTAAAAAATTTACGCCCATTTATTTAATGTATTGCACTTTATTCATATTTCACAACATCACGTTTTTTTCTTTAGCGAGTTACATACGTGCAGCTTCATCCGTGAAAATCTCGCCCCTTGTCGTGGTTATTGTGAAATCGGTCACACCCTCTGATTTAATCCTTTCGGTGTCAGAATGTTTGACTAACTGATTTGAATGAAATATTAAAATGGTTGACGTACAGTAGTTCTAAGCCAATATTTGGTCGCACAATTTTCCTTGACAATAAGGTGACTTATTTTGTTGTATTTTTCACTGTATCACTGTTGTTTTACATCGTTATTTTGTGGCGTAGACAACAGCAATTTAAGTCAAATTTGTTTTCTCGTCATGAGTCCATGGTGTGCTTCGGTTTGCGTTAATAAAGGTTTCTCCGGTCGTTTATTAACTTTTCGGCTAAACTTGCGGAATTTAGCCAAACCAGGCTTCGGCAACTAGCCAGCGTTGAGAATGAGATGTAAAAATAACCGCTTGAAACAGTAAAGGAACAGACAGAGAAAAGAACAATTACAAGAAAAGTTAGGCTGGGATTTTTTCTTTGAGCCTTTCATCTCTGAGTTTCCGGGAAAGAATTTACAATTTGAAAGGCGATGAAAGCCTTGAGACATTTAAGAAACAGACGTTTTCGTTGACAACGGCGACGTGACGACCGATAAGAAACTAGAACCAAAGGGTTCATTTCTCTGACCAACATGACATCTTTTTGTTCTCTCCACTCCATCTATAGATTAAACATACACTATATTTGAAAAATAAATCGACGAATTCAAGCCCTGTACTATTAAAGCTTCTCTAATGATAGACACATCCCTTTTGAAATTGTTATAGCGAAAAATTACAAACTGTTAAGCTTACAAGAGTCGTTCTGCCTTGGCATATCAAAGACAGAAATTATTTTACATGTTATATGTGTAATGTTAGAGCGATCAATTGCCATCAATTGTACACTCTTTATTTTTGTCAACTATTTTGATTCAAGTGTCGGAAAAAAAAAAACGTTTTGCGAAGAACGCAATCTTCTCGTGTGTACAAGAAGCATGTATTTGTCTGCTTGTGAACATGGTGATTAACATACTAAATACAAAATTAATTTGAGTCGATTAAAAAAGCTTCCATGTTAAATGAAAGGCCAGGAGGAAGGAATTAAAAAAATGACTCGAGTGCTATTTCAAGCTATAACAATCTACCAGTCATACATTGAGAAAATCGGAATAGACAACTAATTATTCCACTGAATGAAAGTAACCTCTTCGTTGGAAGCTAGTTTGGCATGCGAAAACAATTTAAAAAATGAAACTAATAATGCTTGCAGAGCATTATTTCAAACATAAAATCAATCATTATGTAATTTTACCAAGCTTCCAAATTAAATTACTCCGAAAGTAAACTAAAAGTGATCAAAACAAAAGATTAAGTACTCAAGCTCTTATCACGACGTGAAACCCCACGTTCTCGCGTGCTCGACTTCGGGACAACGGCAAGTTATGTCACAACGTGTTGTACATGCGCAGTAAGGACTGCAAAGAAATTTCACGTTTCCAGTTGCCGTCTTGAGGCCGACTACGTCTGTTGCTTAAGGCGCCTAATTACAGAACGCCACATAGAGCGTAACTAATAAAGCAAACGTATATTTCACGGTATGAGTTTAAAGAGTGGCTTTAAGAACGATTACATAACCTTTCTCCTTGCATTTGCTACATGAAAGGGGTGAATACCGATTCAGAGGGTAAAACGCCAATACCTTTATGCCTGGACACGTTCCGTTTTATTATTAAAACAACTTCCTCTTATGTCACCTCCAGATTTCACGTGTAGTGTCACATGACTTTTGATGTGTTCGGACATCGAGTCCACCACCCACTACCCGTGTGCGAACTTCGGCTTCGGCATTTTGTCGTAAATAATTTTCCACTGTCGTGAGGCGTTCCCACGCTCAAATTAACAGGAAGCGTTTGATTATTCCATGTCGCAACGCCCCCTCTTACAGTCTTCGCATCTATTTTAGCGGTAGCGAAATAACAAAGAAGTCATTTTGTGTGTAGAAACGCTTTACGACTGAAGAAAATTATTTACGACCACATGCCGAAATTGAAATTCGGACACAGTGGGATGTTGACTCGATGTCCGAACTTGCGCAGTTTTTTTACATCAAAAGTCGTGTTTCACCAGACGTGAAACCTTAAGCCGAAAAGGTGAATTCTGAATGGTTGTCTGAAGTCACGCGCCAAGTATTTTGATATGCGATTAGTAAGCATCTGTGTCAATTTTAATTTAAACAGAAAAGCTAATCTGCTAATCAATTAAAAATTTTCCGCTAATGGCTGTCGAGCATTTTTGATTTTGATACGATAATTTTTTGAAGGAGCTGTTTTTATCTTAACACACACTTACAATTTTACTTACAATTTTACTTTCACATGGGCTCACAAATCTTAGAGTTTCCCTAGTGATTCTCCTTCACTTATCAAAAGTTTGAAAACTCTGACAAAGTAATCAAAAACTACAACAACAACGGATACAAATATTTCTTATTTTATTAAGAACATTTGAAAAACTAAAATTTTTTTTGATATCTTTAAGCCGGTTTTGCCTGTTTTATTTTGATTTTTTTTCACTTAAAAAATGTTTTATGAGTTGTACTTCGGCCAGTTTTGAATTTTTAGACAAAACACGTGGGCTGAAGGTTGCCTTCACGTTTTTTACCATGTCGTTTTTCTCACTTGCACGTCCCGTGAGAGAGCACATGACACTTTTGGTTCACTCTTGGTTGGAGGCGTAAATATTCATGTAGCGCCGCAGCGATCACGCAAGGGGGAACCCTAGGGGTTAATTGATTTTCACAACTGTTAATTTTCGTCACCATCTCTTAAGTGGACAATTGACACGCTCCACACCCATATTATTTCCCCCATAAAAGGATCGGAAAATGACAGTTGTTACTGAAATAACTGCCAAGCCCACCGCGAAACAGCCAATCACGATTCATTGACGTAAGGATCTATTTTTAGTATCACGTGGTCTAAATTGACCAATTAGAACCGAGCTTATAGTAAGCAAGATGGAAGGTTATGTGCGAGATGAAAGTTTTTTAACGTAAGAAGTTTGAGCTCGCTTTAGCAAGGTTTCCTCGTTAGCTCGTCCTCTAGGCCTTCAATCCTAGCTTCATTTCAATCTCGATTATCAAGGCTTTCAAATGAGTGAATCAGGAGTGGATCTCGGCTTTGATCTTCTAAGTCCTGACGACTTCGGTTCGCACGAAGAAGAAGTGTTCGATTTTTACACGATAAAGTCTAAAATTCCGGATCTTCCAAGGTAAGTCGAGCTTAAAGTGTACTAAGAACAAATTTCTAAGGATATTCTACAATACCAATTTACTATGCAAAATTTTAAGGTCGTGATTTCCTCGCTTCCTGCTCCAAAATTGAAATATTTTTTTAGCCCAAAGCGTAAAGCTCAGTCGCGCAATCGATCGAAACCAGCCAGTACATGAGATGAAATCAGCTGTAATCTACTGTTATTTAACACGCAAAGGAACTCACTGCGTCAGATACGTGACAATTTTGTGCAAGATCGTTCGAACTTTCAGAGAATTTATCAGTAACGCAGCTCGTCTGAGTATGCTCTCTGAAATGTGGTCGGGGGTCTTGTGTTTTATCATGTCGTGAACTTGCGTCTTTCATCTCATTGGTTTTAAAACCAACTCGTACTGACATGAATTTATTTTTGGACATAACACGTGAAAAACATGAATACTTCTCAAGAAAACACGTATTCCCCCCTCTTCTGATCACGATCAATTTGAGTTCATTTTTCCGAGTTTAAAGGTGTAATGGATAGGAAAATTGTATACGTTGCAACTCTTACGTTTCTCGTCGCTCAACGGAGCGTTATTCCTTTGGATAAATGCAATTTTCCTCCCTGTTGAAACAGAAAGTTTTACAGTGCTTTTATCGTTCAAAGTTTGAACT